TTTACATATTTGTATGTATTCATTAAATACATTTTATTATATTTATGGTTAACTCAGCATAAAGGTTGTGCAATAAAAACTTTCTCATTTCTGCAAAACAACCAAACTTTTGTATATAATTTTTTTTTAAATAATCGTTAGCCTTAATTAATGCACTCAGTTTTTTTTCATTATACCTATATTAAATAATGAAATACATTTTATTTATTTTTTTGCACTCTTTGATAACCAAATGTTCCACTGCAATACCAATCTCATTCTCATTTCTTCAATACAACCAAACTTTGTAATAATTTATTTTACTAATCATTTGTCTTAAATAACATTTCCCATTTTCCCCATAATAAAAAAAAAATACATTACTTCATTTGATATGATTAAATATTTAAATAAACATAAAGGCAGTCAAATAAATACTAAGTCAAACAATAAATCATTATTGTTTTTGCATTAATGTACATCATAACTTTAGCCATTTAAAAGGACAACAATTAATTCCTCCGAGCAAGAATTTAATAACCATAAAACAGTCTCACGATATCTTAATCACAGGCCCAAATTATTACATGCTGATATGCAAATTACTAATTAATGCTAATGCAGTTAACTAAATTTGTAAACATATTATCCATTTAAAAGCAGGACATAATTAATAACGGTACTGTGAATTTGATTTCGTCTAAAACTTAAAACTTAACTTAAATGGATAAAAAGCCATAATGCCTGAATATTTAATTTATTAATGGCACTACTTAAGTATTAATGTCTCTGTTCACTATTAATGCAAATTCCTTAGGCCCAAAACAGCATCTATAAGCAGATCCTATAGCATAATTAACACACACAGTGTCAGTGTTAGACCAGGCTCTGCTTCAACACAAGCTCTCTCGTCAGAGAAGATAATGTAGGCTATCAGCTGGCAGAAACTCAGCGTGAAGGGTTTGTTATGTCACAGGAGTGCTGTGGGTTGGTTTGCACAGGTTGGCGTCGAGTCAAGCCACTAGAAACTTCCAGTGTCGTATCACGGCCTCTGTCTCTCAGGAACATCACATGCAAACCAGCGCAGTCATTCACCGAGATACCCCGTTCAAATTCTCATGGGAATGAAAGAAAATCACGAGATCTCTTTAACAGCTCGATTGCTTCTCCTAAATGGAGATTTACTTTTGTCTGCAGCATTTTCGAAAGAGATCTTACATTTGCCAAGAATTTCAATATGATCTCAATATTTCTCATCAAATGATCTGAGCTACAATTCACATTAATTGCATTGGTCTGTGCACTCAAATCTATCTAGAGTATCCATTTGAATTGCATATGCAATTTTTCCATCAGTTTGGATTAGACAGTTTTAACATAATGCATAATGGGGTGGTGATGGCGCAGTGGATAAGACACATGCCTTTGGTGTGAGACACCCGGGTTCGAATCCACTGTGAGACACAAATGTGTCCCTGAGCAATGATTCCAGATAGAGCCAGACCGATATATCAGCAGACCGATATTAGGCATTTTCCAAACTATCGGTATCGGCAGTTATAATGGCGATAAATGAATATTTCAAAAATAAAATAAAAACGGACAAAACACGCTTGAACCATGTCATGAGTGTTGGAGTTGTGTAGTTTGTCCACCAGAGGGCATTATACACCGTTCCTGTTGGCAACACTCGTTGAGTTGGTCACGATACAAACATTTCTTGAATAACAATTAAAAGAACATCCCCATCAGTTCTCTTAACTCAAATAAGTATGACAAAATTTGTGGCCGGCGGAAGTTTCCTTGGCCGGTTATATTGAAAATATATGTTTTACAATTTGCAGTATGACGTTATCCATTGCTAAATTATGGTTCATCATAGACTAGCTAACCATAAAGCTAGCTAATGCCACTATCATCAGTCTGTTCTGTTGTGACAATAAAAGAAACTTTTAGAAAGTTTCTGAAAAAAAAAATATATATATATATATCGGCCGATATATCGGCATATCGGATTTTAAAACCAAAAAAATATTTCTATCGGTATCGGCCTTCAAAATCCTTTATCGGTCGGGCTCTAATTCCAGACGATGAATAAGGGTCTTATCAAGCGAAACGATCGCTTATTTACATTTTATAAGTTTTATAAGCTCAAATGCTCGCCTTGCTCTGTTCTGTGATGTGCGTTCGTGACTCTGCTGTTTGAACTCGTACATCAAAATAAACGAATCTTTTTCCGAGCTATTTGGTTCATTCAACGAACAAAACGAATGAATTGACTCGGAAAAAGATCCGTTCATTTTGATGAACGAGTTCGAACAGGAGAGTCACAAACGCGCATCACAGAACAGAGCAAGGCGAGCATTTGAGCTTATAAAAGTTAAACTTTGTTATTTATTTATTAAATGAGTGATCGTTTCGCTTGATAAGACCCTTATTCATCGTCTGGAATTGTTTAAAGCCCTTTGAACAGTTTGTAGTTTGCACTGAAACTGTCTTTTGGACCTTGAACCGTTTGGTTCCCATTGAAGTCCATTATATGGAGAAAATCCTGGAATGTTTTCATCAAAAACCTTAATTTCTTTTCGACTGAAGAAAGAAAGACATGGACATCTTGGATGACACGGGGGTGAGTAAATCATCAGCAAAAGTTTTTTCAAAAGTGAACTACTCCTTTAAGTCACACCATATGCTTAACTGCAAACTTTTTTGAGAGCGCTAATATTAACCTTCACATAACCTGTGAATATGTACAGCATTTAAAAAACTATATAATTAGTCAGAGCTGTGGTTTCCAGGCGAATTATAGTGTCGGTTTGGGGAAGGTCTGACCCGCATGATTAAGGCCTGAAGTCATAACAAGGTTAAAAAGTGGATGCTAAACAGCTCTAATTTAAAAGATTACAAGAATAACATTTTCTCTAAACTCTGAACAGAGTTCAGAGTTTAGAGCAGATGTGCAATAAAAATAAAATTAAATGTATTCTTATTGTCATATTGCTATTGTCACTACTGTTGTAGATTGCTATAGCCTATATTACTATTATTGTCATGAATATTATCATTATAAATACTATCATTGATACTGCCACCACTAACACTAATATAGATACGTGTATGTATATATATGTATATATATATATATATATGTATGTGTGTGTATATATATATATATATGTATATATTTCTTTGTGTTTGTCAAAGTCTCTATCATATCCTCTACAACTATTCAGATACTACCGAATTGCATCACAGAAAGGATCTCGTGTGCCTACATATACCACTTTGTCGATAACTGTGTGGGGCTGTTGTGAGTTTTTCTGTTCTCTGTTGTTTTTTTTTTTTTGTTGTTTTTTTTTTTTTTTGTTTTTTTTTTTTTTGTTTTTTGTTTCCCCTTTCCTACTTCTGTATTGTAGATGTGTCTCACTGAATCTTACCTGGTATGTGTTACTGTTTTGTTAACCTGCAAAAAAAAAAAAAAAAAAAAAAAAAAAAAAAAAAAAAAAAAAAAAAAAAAAAAAAAAAAAAAAAAAAAAAAAAGAATAACATTTCAGTGACTGCAAAAGTAGATTACAAGAGAGTCAGACCACATACTTCCACAAACAAGTGCAGTTCGCCCCAACACAACACAGCACCGATGCTTTCCATATCCAAAGACACAAATTAAATTACCTCCGCTGCATAAAATCACATCTATAGTAGCTTCTTTTTATTTTTAACTTTTCCAATTTTGGTGTTCAGAACTGATCCAAAAGACAAAAAAGTTCTGATTTTGACACACTTTCCTAGTGAGCAATTGAACAGCAAAGCTTCAAAAGCAACTTCATATCAACCAGACTTTATATTTATTTTCATTTTTGCCTTGACAGTTATAAACTTGGAGTTATTCATGAGAAACAAAGTAGACAAAACACAGCAAGCGATGGAAAATTCGACTTTTTACAAGTATTGTGAATCATTTAGATCCAGCTCAAAAGACCTGACTCAACTTTTTTTTTTACTTCACTGCACCGAGATTTATATGCAAGTTTGAAAAAAATCATTTAAATGATCCGTTCACAAATTGCTATTTGAAATTGACTTAAAGGGTTAGTTCACTTTTCAAAAAACTGATAATGCTGATAATTTACTCACCCCCATGTCATCCAAGATGTCCATGTCTTTCTTTCTTCAGTCGAAAAGAAATTAAGGTTTTTAATGAAAACGTTCCAGGATTTTTCTCCATATAATGGACTTCAATGGGGACCAAACTGTTCAAGGTCCAAAAGAGAGTTTCAGTGCAAACTACAAACTGTTCAAAGGGCTTTAAACGATTTCAGATGATCACTAAGGGTCTAATCAAGCGAAACGATCGCTCGTTTTATAAATAAATAACAAAGTTTAAGTTTTATAAGCTCAAACGCTCGCTTTGCTCTGTTCTGTAACGCACTCCTGTTCGAACTCGTTCAACAAAATGAACAAATCTTTTTACGAATCAATTCGTTCGTTTCTTTCGCAGAATGAACCAAATGACTCGGGAAAAAGATTTGTTCGTTTTGATGAACGAGTTCGAACAGGAGTGCGTTACAGAACAGAGCAAAGCGAGCGTTTGAGCTTATAAAACTTAAACTTTGTTATTTATTTATAAAACGAGCGATCGTTTCGCTTGATTAGACCCTTATTCGTCGTCTGGAATCGTTTAAAGCCCTTTGAACAAGTTTGCAGTTTGTACTTGAACCGTTCGGTTCCCATTGAAGTCCATTATATGGAGAAAAATCCTGGAACGTTTTCATCAAAAACCTTAATTTCTTTTCGACTGAAGAAAGAAAGACACGGACATCTTGGATGACACGGGGGTGAGTAAATTATCAGCAAAAGTTTTTTGAAAAGTGAACTAATCCTTTAACACTAAACATGTTTTAACTAAGTTTATCTCATGAAAGTACATCGCATCTCTTTATTTACGAACCAAGAACCAAAAGCCTGGACAATAATGTCGGGATAGAGAGCACAAATCAAACAAACAAATGTTGCACACTTACCGTCAAACTTTTTATGTCTGGAGGTAAATACTGTCCGTATGGTGTGACTGCTCCCGTCCACTAGTCTCTCGAAATCCGCCTTGCTCTGCTGGCCGAGCCGGTCCTCCATGTCTGAAGTGCAGCAGGTGTAGCCCTGGGAACAAACCCGCAGATGTTCACCTGTGGGACGGGAGAAGCACATATTTCACACGGCCGCACTGGGAGACACGGAGCTCATCACACCAAATCAAACACGCTTCATTAAGCCGGAGCTGCGGTGTGTGATTTCCCAGAGCGCGCAGGGGATGTGAAGGTGCACCAACTGAAATTAATGGTGCATGTCGCCTCTGGATGTGACATCTTTAATTACGTCAAAGCGACAGATGGATGTTTGAGAGCCGTCCTCAAACTTCCTCCACTCGTGTGTTGTGCAGGTGAGCTTTTTAATGACTGCAAACAAGTCGAAAACTCGTCTGACTGTCGGGGTGAAAATGTATTTACCGTCTATTTTTGAAACGTCATGCTTGACTGGCTGTAGTACATTACAATATGTTCAATGTGATGCTTTAAAAAGCTTCCCTGTTGAGGAAAGTCGAAACCAGGTTCAAATACGCATTGAAATGAACATGCCTCCATAAGTGAGGCATCAATGTGATTTTTTTTTTCAATAATAAAGTCAAATCAAATTAAAGCTACACTGAAAGAAAAAGAGTGTGTATTTATTTAATATCAGTTGTTAATTGCAGCTGTGTTTAAAATGTTTAATTAAAAAAATCGGTTTGAATGAATGATTTAATGACTCACTTGTTTCATTACTGTATGATTCAGTGTTTTTGAACGAATCACCTGAATGAAAGATTTGATGACTCACTCATAAAGACTTTACTTGTTTCATTGCTGGATGATTCAGCGTTTTTTAACAAATCACCTGAATGAATGATTTGATGACTCAGAAAGACTTGTTTCATTACTGGATGATTCAGCGTTTTTGAACGAATCACCTGGATGAACGATTTGATGACTCACTCATGAAGACTTTACTTGTTTCTTTACTGGATGATTCAGCGTTTTTTAACAAATCACCTGAATGAATGATTTGATGACTCAGAAAGACTTGTTTCATTACTGGATGATTCAGCGTTTTTGAACGAATCACCTGGATGAACGATTTGATGACTCACTCATGAAGACTTTACTTGTTTCTTTACTGGATGATTCAGCGTTTTTTAACAAATCACCTGAATGAATGATTTGATGACTCAGAAAGACTTGTTTCATTACTGGATGATTCAGCGTTTTTGAACGAATCACCTGGATGAACGATTTGATGACTCACTCATGAAGACTTTACTTGTTTCTTTACTGGATGATTCAGCGTTTTTTAACAAATCACCTGAATGAATGATTTGATGACTCAGAAAGACTTGTTTCATTACTGGATGATTCAGCGTTTTTGAACGAATCACCTGGATGAACGATTTGATGACTCACTCATGAAGACTTTACTTGTTTCTTTACTGGATGATTCAGCGTTTTTTAACAAATCACCTGAATGAATGATTTGATGACTCAGAAAGACTTGTTTCATTACTGGATGATTCAGCGTTTTTGAACGAATCACCTGGATGAACGATTTGATGACTCACTCATGAAGACTTTACTTGTTTCTTTACTGGATGATTCAGCGTTTTTTAACAAATCACCTGAATGAATGATTTGATGACTCAGAAAGACTTGTTTCATTACTGGATGATTCAGCGTTTTTGAACGAATCACCTGGATGAACGATTTGATGACTCGCTCATAAAGACTTTGAGCCCGTTCTCATCCCAAAGTGCCATATAGGACGCTTTTGCAAAAGCGTAAATATCCAACGCACATGGCACCCTTTAACGTGAAATGAGACGCAGATATATTTGGGCAGATGGCGCCCCCTAGTGGTCTAACCCTTACCCCACACCATACCTAAACTTAACCATTAACCGAAGCGTCTCATTAGACATTAAAGGGTGCCATGTGCGTTGGATATTTACGCTTTTGCAAAAGCGTCCTATATGGCGCTTTGGGATGAGAACGCGTTGAGACTTTACTTGTTTCATTGGTTGAATCAGCATTTTTGCAGTATGAATGATTGATTCAATGACTCACTCATTAATATTCCACTTTTATTACAGCATTTTTGAACAAATCACTTGAATTAATGATTGACTCACTCAAAGACTTTACTTGTTTCATTACTGGATGATTCGGTGTTTTGAACGAATCATCTAAATGAACGATTTGATGACTCACTCATAACGACTTTACTTGTTTCATTACTGGATAATTCAGCCTTTTTTAACGAATCACCTGAATGAACACTTTGATGACTCACTCATAAAGACTTTACTTGTTTCATTACTGGATGATTCAGCGTTTTGAAACAAATCTCTTGAACTAAATGATTCAATCACTAACTCAAAGACTTCACTTGTTTCATTACTGATTGAATGGTTCATTTTTGCAGTTTGAATGAATGATTCAATGACTCACTCATAAATATTCCGTTTTCATTACAACGTTTTTGAACAAATCACTTGAATTAATGATTTAATGACTCACTCAAAGACTTTACTTGTTTCATTACGGTATGACTCGGCGTTTTTGAACAAATCTATTGAATTAATGATTCAAAGACTCACTCATAGACTTCACTTGTTTCATTACTGGATAAATCAGCGTTTTTGAACGAATCACCTGAATAAACAATTTGATGACTCACTCATAAAGACTTGTTTCATTACTGGATGATTCAGCATTTTTGAACAAATCTCTTGAATTAATGATTCAATGACTAACTCAAAGACTTCACTTGTTTCATTACTGGTTGAATCAGCATTTTTGCAGTTTGAATGTATGATTCAATGACTCACTCATAAATATTACACTTTCATTACAGCGTTTTTGAACAAATCACTTGAATTAATTATTTAATGACTCACTCATAGACTTCACTTGTTTCATTACTGGATGATTCAGCATTTTTGAACAAATCTCTTGACTGAATGATTTGATGACTTTTGAAGACTTCACTTGTTTCATTACTGGTTGAATCAGCATTTTTGCAGTTTGAATGAATGATTCAATTGCTCACTTATAAATATTACACTTTCATTACAGCGTTTTTTAACTAATATATTGAATGAATGAGTAAATGAGTCACTAATAAAGACTTTGCTTATTTCATAACTGGATGATTCAGTGTCCAAGAATGTCTTGAATGAATGATTCAATGACTCACACGGACTGGTGTAAGGATGTTATCGATATAATTGTTATTTTAAGCGTCATGTTACTCTCAAAAGGTGATTCGCTCTATTTTGATCCCTATTGTAGACATCGGTATTTATATTTGAACTACAACTATATAACAACGTCTGTGATCATATATTTATAACACAGAAATAATGAAACTGTGATTGAAAAGACCATTTGTGAAGAGGTTTTATACACTGTCTCTTGGCAGCGGAAACACAGATCTCAATGTCCCGATGTGATTTAGTCAAATGTTTAATAGACACAGGCAAATTGCTGTCATTTAGGAGTCATGTGGGTGTTGAATCAAGATTGTGATCTCTTAATGAACAATCGTGAAGCTCTATAAGCATTATTCTTGAGTTCTTAAGAGCACATAATTCTTTCTACAACCCAACAGCAAACGAATTTAGCTTTTCCAGTATAAATAGCATCCCTCAGGTCAATCTGTCTGCATTTTGCACCATCTCAGCATTAAAGCATCTAAAGTTCCTGAGTGAAACTCTCCCCAACACCTGCAGGAGTTAACATGCAGCGAGCCAGACCAGCACTGCATCTAAACCACAGCCAAAGTGCTTCTGGCACCAGTGGTCCAGGGACAACATAATGTATGGAGCAAATGCCAAACTGTGAGCTAATGAAACATTTAAAATCACCTCAAATTTTGGCGGGGAATCATAAGTTGCTTGCAGTGAGCAAAAGCGACAAACCAGAGTGTGTTGATAATGACATGGCAGCCTGGGAGAAAATAAAATCTCATTCTCATAACAGAACAGCCAGCTGATTTGAAAATAGCACTTATTTTCGAGTATATATTGACTTCTGCAGTGAGAATATTTTGAGGCCTGTGTGCGATTTAATTTCTGATTGTGTCTCGCGTGAGTCTACTCGTTTTAAATGTAATGAGCGAGAAATTGTGCAATTTATGAACTGGGCCATATCTGAACACGTCTGTATAATAATAATAGGAAACAGACATTATAAGAAGCCTCAATATTCATTGTTGTGACTTTTTTCGCATTAAATTTCAATCCCTTTTAAGTTTCGTCGAATATTAAGCATGCTTTCAATATCTGGAATTGGTTGGTCAAGGCAGGGTATTTCAAGACGTTGTAAAGATTGTCCCCATTTTAAAGTAAAATTGCAAATTAGATCTCTTTAATACTCAAATGTTTCACCAAGACAGCAATGACAATGGCATTAAATGTAGAAATGCATTAATGCATGTAAATCATTTGGTCCATTATTTTCCTTTTCTTGAATGGAGGAATAAGACTAAGTTGATACTTGCACTACTGTTCAAAAGTTTGAGGCCACTAAAATTTTCCAAATGAGCCAGTAAAAAAACACCAAATGAACCAAGAGAACCAAACTACAAGTGTGAACACACCGCTCTGAACCAAATAAACCAAGAGAACCAAACTACAAGTGTGAACACACCGATCTGGACCAAATGAACCAAGAGAATCAAACTACAAGTGTGAACACACCGATCTGGACCAAATGAACCAAGAGAACCAAACTACAAGTATGAACACACCGATCTGGACCAAATAAACCAAGAGAACCAAACTACAAGTGTGAACACACCGCTCTGGACCAAATGAACCAAACTACAAGTGTGAACACACCGCTCTGAACCAAATGAACCAAGAGAACCAAACTACAAGTGTGAACACACCGCTCTGAACGAAATTAACCAAGAGAATCAAACTACAAGTGTGAACACACCGATCTGGACCAAATGAACCAAGAGAATCAAACTACAAGTGTGAACACACTGCTCTGAACCAAATAAACCAAGAGAACCAAACTACAAGTGTGAACACACCGCTCTGAACGAAATTAACCAAGAGAATCAAACTACAAGTGTGAACACACCGCTC